CGATTCCGTCTCCATACACAGAAGGACGCCTACTGTGTCCGAGTCCAATGATGTTCTCGGGTTGGGTAGTCCAACAGAAAGATGGAAAGGTGGTTCATGCTCGAGAAGTGGTTGTTCCGAGTGAGGAAGGGGAGCGGGTCCGCATCAGGTTGGAGATAGAAGACAATCCTGAGAGGCCTCACAGACGGCTTTACTCCAAGACGCCGCCAGAAGGTGTCATGAGGTTGCCGCCAACCATTGGGGACGCTCCGCTACCACCTCCTGACGAATCACCACCTGAAGATTCAGAGCCATACGAACCGAGCGAAATGCTCGAAGTAGATGAAGAGCCTGATGAAATCGACTTGCTTTATGAAGAACTCAACCGAGAAGATCCGGAAGCTCCTGTGGAAGAGATTGACAGCCTTGGGCCGGAAATCTCAAAAATGAAAGTAGAGCCTGCTGAAGTGTCAGCAGGGGGGGAGCCCGGTAACCTTTTCAAAAGTGAAAAAATCAAAGTTTCAAGGGTTTCTGCACAAGATGGTCCAGACTCGGGGGAGAAGCACATCGAAAGAAGTCCAACCTCGGGGGAGTTCATCGTCAGAAACGTTAGCTTGACACACCTGTTGAAGGTCAAAGAAGATCAACACCTTGGAGTTGTGGAAGCCATTAGGGAAGAACTGTCGAATGTTCCAGTGGATCCCACAAACGGTTTCATACAGGGACAAGTTCTACGACTTCTACAAGAACATCGTGAAGATTTGGAAGAAGAACTGGAAGCTGTAACAACTGCAAGGATGGAAGAGGAAAGGCGAGTGTGCCAACTAAGGGTCTGTTCAGCACAAGCTGATGGTAGCGGTGGAGAAGAACAACTTCAAACTGTTACAGTCCCTCTCCACAAGGTGAGAATGGAAAAGGAAAAATGGTACGACTCGATGCTCGCCGAGTACAAATCCTTGACTGCAGAAACAAAAGCTATCCGACCAGTCAAAAGGTCCGAGATTGACCCTGAAGCCGAATTGGTGCCGGGGAAATTGGTCTGTGTGATCAAGGCTGGAGGGAGATACAAATGTCGCGCTGTGATCTGCGGCAACTTGGCATCACCGGAAGCAGATCCCATGCCTTCCTCTCTGCTGTATGCCAGTGGAGCGGACGGGGTTCTGATAAGGTGTGCATTGCGAAAGGCAGCTCATCACCAATGGGATGTAGCCACGACGGACATCAAGACCGCCTTTCTACTGGCTCCTCGGCCGGTGGAACAAGGTGCCAAAACCGTGGCGGTGGTGCCGCCCAGGATCATGACTGATTTTGGGATTACCCAACCGGATGAGGTCTGGCTTGTCGACAAGGCCCTGTATGGGTTTCAATCCAGCCCTGCCCATTGGGCAGTGTACCGCGACCAAACAATGCGGCGGTTCACATGGCAGGGAGATGCAAGCCCGGGGGAGATGCAGAAGGAGTACAAGCTGGAACAAACGCCGGAAGGAAATTTGTGGAGAATCCTGTGTAAAGGTGGTGACGCTCCGGGAGAAGAAGTACGTCCTGATGGATATCGGCAAGTGGGTTTGGTGGTCGTCTATGTGGACGATCTTATGGTTCTTGCGGAACCTCACGCCAAACACAGCTTCTTGAAGAGGCTGAAGGAAGAATGGACTTGCTCCACTCCTGAAGAAGTTGATCACAAAGGCTGGGTTCGATTTTGTGGGTTCGAGCTCCAATGGAGCGGTCAAGGGGATCACAAGAAGTTGAAGGTGGGACAGCAGTCCTACACTCGGGATCTGTTGAATCGACATCAAGTAGAACACCCAAGACCGGTTCCGATGACGAAAGCGGATGCCGAACTTCCGGAAGAAGAACAACCAGCACTTGAAAACATCCGACAAGCTCAAACGGTGGTGGGCGAGTTGTTGTGGTTGTCCATAAGGACAAGGCCGGATATCAGTTTCGCCGTCAGCCAATTGGGAAGACAGGTGAACAAACGGCCCAAATGGGTGGTGAAAACCGCACAACAGGTGTTTGGTTACCTGAAGGGAACCGAAACTCAACATCTCAGCTATGGGGTTTGCACAAGTGATGATCGTGGTCCCGAAGATGATCTGCCATTTCACCGGGAGATGCAGCAAGTCGAAATGTTCTCGGACATTTCATTTGCCCCTGCGGGCGAAAGATCACTGCAGGGTATCCTAGGTTTTTATGGTGGAGGGTTGGTTCAATGGGAAGCCAGCCGTCAAGCTTTTGTGGTGTTGAGCACCGCCGAAGGGGAATTGATGTCCTACTTGGAATCCATGGTCATGGGAGACTCTCTGGCGTCTCTCATAGAGGTCGTGGAAGGACGGAAAATCGGGCAGAAGATCATCTACGGAGACAACACGGCTGCAATAGCCATCTTGGAAAATCCTGACGGTCCGTGGAGGACTCGACACTTGCGGTTGCGAGCAACAGCCCTAAGGGAGCGGTTAAAGGATGGTAGTTGGATCATCCGTCACCTTCCAGGGGTAAAACTTGTGGCCGATTTCCTGACGAAGATCATCGCTGTGAAGCCCAGTTGGGAAAGGTTCTGGAGGTTCGTCAATCACCAAGGTTCCGGGGTTCCAAATGAGGAAACATCAATGGGGTCCAACCATCGTGAAGAACAACCTCTGGGAGAAGAACAACGTCCAGAAGAACCAGACCAGGAGACTTCCTCCTGGGACAACTACCGAGATATCGCTGGTCGGTGCGTATCAGTGGTGAAAAAGGTGGTTGGTCTGGCCGAGGAATATCCAGAACTAGCCGATTTCCGGCATGAAGCCCTGAGCACTGCCATTGGAAGGCTGGTGCGAGTACTGGCTGATGCGTATCGCGTCACTGAATCCGTGGTCAAGGATCGGTTCCAGTTGGAGTCGGTCTTACCGTTTTTGGAGAAGAAGAACATTCCTGGACAAGTTGAACACCCTGTAGAAGAAGAACCTAGGGGTATCCTAAAACGGGGTAATAAGACCAAAAGGGGTAACTCAAAACCAAAAAGGGTTTATTTTTGGGATGAAAATCCACCAGTTTTGAAAGTTTTGCGGGTACAAGATCATCACGGTCATGTTGCCCAATTGCACAGTTATGAAAAAGAAGAACCCATCCCTAAGACCATCCTGGGTGATGGACAAGAGAAACCTTGGGACTTGGATTGTGCCAGGTCCGATCGAGAAGAACATCGAGCTGCTGAAGTTGTACCAAGGTCGGGTTCCACAGAACCGTGGGATCTGGTTGCAACTTGGGGAATTGGGTTTTTGGGGAATTCTAATGTGGTAGGTAAGGGGAAAAACCATCCTGAAACCTCAAAGGGGATAGCTCCGCAACCAACGGGATTTAAGTGTTTTTCCGTTAGGGAACTGGGGTTGTCCGCAGCAATTTATTTTTCCAAAAGTTTTGGGCTCAAAAGCGTCCTCGTCTGCCTTGCTGTACCAGTGACAGCTATGGACGGTGAAGATGTTTCGCAAGGCGTCTTTGGTCAGTTTTTTGGCATACTTTATGCCATGATGGTCATCCTGGTGTGGGAAGTTTTCCGATGGCTTATGAGCCATTTGACACTCCTGGTGGTTCCTCAGTTCAATCGACAAATGGTGGAACAAGCTGAACTGATGGTGAAGTTGGCCCTGAAAGATCGAGAAAAAGATGTACGTGGGGGAGAAGGTCATTCCACGGCGGCGCCAACTGTAGAAAAAGATGAACATCAGGAAGAAGAACCACGTCCGGGAGAAGATCATCGAAAGGAAAAAAGAAGAAAAACCGAAGAGAGGGATGCTGATCGCGCCCATGATAAAAGGGAAAGAGGAAGAGACCGTCGGAGACGGGGTGAAACAGGGCGATCTAGGTCGCCACACAGGGAAAAGGAATCGACAACAAGGCGATCGGAGAGTGAAAAAAGCCCTGGCCCTTCTACAGCCGAATCGCGAGGTTCGGAAAGGGTCCCAAAGGGACCGATAGCTCCGCTGCCAGAGGGTATGAAAGCCCCTGGGAGACCGCCACCGAAAAAACCGTCGATGCCAACTCCCAAGGAAGAGGAAAAAGTACCCACCGATGATGAAGAGTGGGGAAAATGGAAGGAACAGAGAGAAGGAGAAAAAATGGCTGATTACCTTGCAAGGATGAGATCAGTCTATGGAAAGGCAATACCTGCAGAGCCAAGGGAAAAACCTGCAGAAACGACCCGAGCCTCCTCCTCTAAGGCAGCTCCTAAGGCAGCGGCTTACTATGAAGTGGATGGAGGAGAATGGTATTGGTGGGATGGTGCATGGGGTGACAAATGGGAACCGAAAAAGAAAAAGAAGAAGAACAAATACACCGAGGCTGAATGGGAACAGTGGTACAAGGAGCATCCGGAGGAGGACACTGAGTCTTCCCAGACACCAAGAAGGCCAGCAGAACCGGAGACTCCGCCACCGGCCCAAAGACCAAGGATTCGTCCGGGACAAGATTTAATTCGACGTCCTGAAGACCCAGCCAGCTGGACAGTTTACATGCCTGAGGTGGTCATGCGTGAGGTGGAATATATCATCTCGGGAGAGGGCACAGCATGGATGACAAAGCCGCCGGCCGTAACAGGCTTTGAAGAACAGGGTCAGGCCATTGACATGTGGCATGTTCCAGCCCCTGGGGACTATGTTGGGCAACCGAAGAAGCTGGGTTGGGGGGGAAGCGGGGTCTAGGGATGATTTCCGCCGGATTGGGCGGAGATGGGCAGCAGCTTGCGAACCACCTGGCCACAAGGGTTGCTGCTCTTCAACTGCAAACAAAATCCAACACATGAATTTTGAAACGAGGTCTTTCCGGACATGAAATAATTCCGTGCGTTTTGCATGAAGAATTCTGAAGCCTTCAGCTTTTCTTATTTTGCAAATTGCAATGAGTTCAAGAAACTGGTTTTCAAAATGTTCTGGCATTTGTTTCTTGAATCTTCAACGTAACACTACAACCCAGCGCAAAGACATGTGATCAGAGAGAGGATGAGGAAACACGGATACAGCAGCCCTTTTTTCTCAATTTTTTCACTTGACGGAGCGGTCAAGTTCTGCCAGTGTTTTCAACACTGCTGCCGGGGTGTCCCCCGTTCCTTGTTGAACACTCCAGGCCCAAACCTGTCTGATTGCTGCAGCAGCAGCTTTTTCTGCTCCTGCAGCGGTCCAAGAAATTGACTTGGTGTGTCCTCGAAAAGATAATCTCCATCTGCCATTCAAATCGTCAGCGTACGCGCGAGCGCCAATTGGCAATGACTTTTGCAACGCCTCATGGGCTGAGGAGGTTCTTCGCGCGTAGATGCGCTGCTGACACTTCAAGGCTTCGGTCTCTGCTTTTTCCTTTTGCCTTCGAACTTTCTCTGCCTCCTTGTTGGGCGGAAGCAATTTCATGGTTCGGGAATATGATTCTTCAGCTCGTTTGATCACAGCACCACTGTCCTTTCGCTTTGCCACATGTGTAGTCACTATGTCGACGACCTGTCAGGAAGAGGTTTGACTGACATGCTATAAATGGGAGATTCAACAAAGCATTTTTACAGGTACCTACAAATCCCTTGTTTGGACCAGAACCAGCCTTCCGTTGTTCACCAGGCAGCAAGGTGTCTTGAACCGCCTCCGAGATTTCAGCCTCTGTTGTTTCCAAAGTTTCAACTTGCAGTTCAGCACGCTGAAGCACGCGTTCTGTCACCTCTGCCTGCGTCAGTGTTGGGTCGAAGTGTAGCATACACCGGACTACCAAATGAAGTTCTGCATCTTCGCCCTGCTCCTCTGACAAGTCAATGCCATATTTTGCACACAAAAAGCGCAAAGCATCTTCTCGCACACTGGGAAAACCATGCTCTACGTGCCACTCCCAAAGCCCAGTCGAAGTTCCGGTTTCCAACACTATGCCGTGGTTTTCCAATTCCGTGCCCATCATGGCAAGAGGAGATCGGGCTGTCACAGTTTCTATTTGAACTTCTGCCACATCAAAGCAAAAAGCCCAGCTTAGGCTTGCCACGTTCAGGAACTTCACAGACCTCAAGGGGCCTCTTTCGAGAGGCCACACCAAACACGCTCTGCGGTAAGCCCGAAGCACCAGTGCAGGACAACCTTGTTGCACAATAACGTGGCCTGGCGGCAGGAAAGATGCCCATTGTGAGCTCTCAACCTTTCCCCAATCGACTGGCTCTTCCTGACATATTTTGCCAAGCAAGGCGAAATTGCTCAGACATTCTTGCGCGCTTGCAGGAGTGAAGCTAGGCCAAGTGATGTCTTTGGTGATGTCTTGCAAGAAACGAAAATCAGCACTTTCTTCAACATCCATTTCTCGTTTTTGCGTGAAGCGGAACAACGCTTCAAAGTTGAAATCTGCTTCCATTCTCACATCACTCTGTGCTTGTACCTCTGTGCGTTCATTCTTGCGGAGAAGCTGATGCTGTGTCAGGGTATACCATCCTTGCTGGCACGAGACCCTTTTGGAGGCCACACACCGCAATTCCTCTGTTCTCTGCAATTGATTGGCATCTTCTACAAGTTTTGAATTCAACAAGGACCCCCACCACATATGGAGATAGCTTAACACCATCTCTGGCACCACTTCGAAATCACAACTGGAGAGGGGACGCAGAATCCAGCGGTACACTGGCGTCGTGAAGGGGTGTCCGACAAGAAGCTGCTGCCCTAACAGGGAGCCATTTCGGTTCACACGTTCCTCAGATGCTGCTCAAATTCTATTTTTCGCTAAGTGCTACTAGTTCCGCATAGAAATGGTCAACACAATGCCAAGTTAGTTGACCCCTAATTTGTAAACTAAAGCCCACCAACTGCCTAAACTAAGTTGTCGACAACCAATATAACAGCAAACCACGACATCCCCCCCGGGAAAAAAAACATCTGATTTGGAGATCACCTCTGTATAAAGGTACTGAGTAGTTAATGAAAGCTGCCATTGCCTTTGGATGCACCAACAAACGTGAACATTGGATGAGCAACCTCAGAGAAACTTGTCACCTTGTAAACAAGTGACTGGAGACGTCTTCTTCTTCTTTTCAACGCAAATGCTTCTATGTTTCGTTTTCAAATCAACACTTTTATGCTTTACTCACGGGAAAGTTTTACAACTCTCCCACAAGCTGGCACTGCAACATCAAGTCAAAATCAAAAACAGCAAGGGTATAGCCCATGCACTCCTATCCGTTGTATTCCCGAAATGTCTTTCAATCAAGCTAAAGCTTCTGCGTCCTGTTATTCTATTTCGCTAAGGATGCGAATTTCATGTACATGCAAAAAATTGGCATCGTTTCAAGTACTATTGGTGTCTATTTGTTCTTAGCCCATACACACACTTTTCTAACTCTTGGCACCAACCTGCACTTCATTCGTCTTGCTCAGACCCGCGCAAATCAACGAAAGAACCAACTCAATACGAGTGCGCTCCACAAAAGCCTTATAAAAGCCTTATTCTCAGCATATTCAGGGCCACCGAAAAAAGATAAAGCTACTGAAACGCTTCTCAAATGCAACTGAAACCAGCGAAAACATGCAAGGTTCATGTTGACCCTAAGGTCAGGAGCGTTTGAGCTGGTGCGTTCATGGTGCGGTTCAAGGGTTTGTGGTGCGTTTGAGGCACAGAGATTGTGAAATAGACTATGATGCTCAATGAAGTCAACGCTTCTGGCCAGTACTGACTGTCTTCACTGAAAGACCTACATCAACCGAAGACACATTCTTTCAATCAAACATATCCAATTACCACTTTTGTCACCGATAACGTATAGACAATAATGTGTCGAATACAAAGATCAGTAGAAGACAAAAAAAATCAACACGTTTCATGTTTCTGCTTCTGTCGTCTGGAATGCATTGACAAGACTATCTCCGAGACTAACATCCATCAAGGCGTTCTCCGAACTTCTGTTCTGAAGCATTCTGAGGTTTAGGAAAGGGCCATGCATTGATCAGATGTCAACACTCAACACTTCCAAAAAAAAAGATTCCAGTCCGGGATTCCAAGGTGGAGAATGCGTGCTTGAAAAAAGCCAGAGAGGACTGCACCTTTCCAGCTTCCTCATGCACCAATCCTGCCGAACTCCCAGCTCCGTTGGTGTTCCAAAGTGCTGAGCCTGCTCTGTGCTTCAGCAAAGACCAAGCCAACTTGAACATCTGTCTTGCAAGAACATCATCTGCTGCAATGGCTGCAGGGTCCCGAGATGAAGCTGCACTGCAACTCATGCCAATCCGGTCCAACAGCTTCAGGTTGCTGAGGGTGGCAACGGTTTCCGTGGCAACGCTCATCCACGACCAGTGGGACCATGAGCTGTAGTAGCGCTTTGTCATTTCTGCGGAACGTAGCTCGTGAAACATGAGCCCAGCCGCCCTGGTTTCAGGACCCAGCACATAGGAAATGATGCGTGCACGACACTTGCTTTCAGGCGCAACCATGAAACGGGTCATCAGGTGGAGGGAATTGCTGCTTCTGGCACGCAACGCTGCCAGGTCATCCTTGGCAGCCTTTTGGGCATTGCCACGCGAAGTTCGGGGCAACGTCTCCAAGTTCTCTGCTTTCCTACCCCCAGACACTTCAGGACCCCAAAACTCCGAGGCATGCTGCGCCCAGCCTTCCATGAGCGATATGGCACAGAAGAGGAAGCATTGAGCTGACCACCATTCCTCGAACTCTTTGAGGAATACCCAGAAAAAAAGAATTTGATTCATGGGGAAAAATAAAGGGTACAGGTCCTTGCTTTGAAACGTACAGAAACAGTGCTAACTGCACAAGCATAGGCGAGCATCGTCTAGGAACTCATGGCTGTGGACGAGAGAATGAAATCTCCCAGAGCTGGCTTTCGGTCCCTTTGCCTTCACAAACGGCAAGCTAGGCAAGGACTGCAAGAATGCCCTCCGGTGTTCCTCATCATTATCACTTTGTGGTTGGTCACGGTCCCGTAGAATTTCCGGGTAGAAAAGTAGTAGTAGTTTGTCATTGGCATGCAGGTTTTCGCTGATGAGCTGAGCACATTCTTGGATTTTCTTGAAAAAACCACTCTTCGACCAGGGGCCCCACTTGATGTTGAGAAGGGCGAGGTGCATCATGGCCTCTTTGGAAAGGGATGCATCTGCGAGACTCAGCCAAGTGTCGTTCCACCTCGGTGGCCTGGGTCAGGGCAATGTTCCACATAAGTGTCTCTGTGATGCTTCAAGTAGTAAGCACTTGCAAGCTGCAGCGCCTCTTGGTCTGTGCAAAGGATCAAGGTGCGTGGCATGGCCGTTGGCGGGGTCTCCAAAACACCTGCGTCCTGCTGACTGCCGCTGAAATTCCGCAGCCGGTGGCCGACAGCGAGCAAGGCATTGTTGATGTCCTGGCACCAGTGCAAGCTGGCCAGGCGTGGTTTGGCTGCTGGCTTGCTCTTCGCTTTCGCTTTTGCCTTTCCCTTTGGAAGCTGCGTTGGTCCGGCCTCTGCTCCAACACGCTCTGCCCACATGCATCCAAACGTGTTGGAGTCGACCCGGTTGATGCTGCGCTGAACCTGCACCAGTGAAAAGAGAGAAAAAAAAACACAAAAAAAAGACAAAAAACGGCTGCTGCCAGCTACAAGTTTCTAAGCGGGTTCAAGGGAAGATTGTTGAAGCGGGGTGCGGGGTAGAAATTGATAGAAGCTGGGTCGGGGGTAGTGACGGAACGGGAACGGAGCGAAAACCAGAATCAAAACGGGCACAGATGCTCATAGAAGATCCCTGCTCACTGAAGAACACCTGTCTACAAGGCATCGCCTACCAAATCCCCTTCGTGGTGCCCAATGCGTTTTTTATCATTTGAAAAATGTTTCCACTGTGGCTTCGGGCTGTTCTTGGATAGGTTGCGGCAATCAAACCCAAGGACGGCAGACTTTTTGGGAGCCGCCGTGACCTCCACCGCGTGCCCTCAGTTCAACGCTCCGTCTTGGCCACCCTTGTATGGACCTAGACACTTCCTTCCTGCTTCAACCGGTGCAGACCATCAACGAAGTATCCCCTACAAATCCTTGTGTAGCCGCCCATGCGTTTTTGATCCCGTGAAAAAAGTTTCCGATATGGTTCCGAGATGTTCTTGGAGGAAAAGATGTGATAATCAAACCCAAGGACAGCACACTTTGCCGGGAACCGCCACGACCCCGACCGCGCGCCCTCCATCCAACCCTCCGCATTTGGTACCCGGATATGGTCACAGAAACCTCCTTGGTGGTCAAACTTTTTTAAACAAATGTCTACAGGGTATCCTCACCAAAACCCCTTCGTGGTCACCAATGCGTTTTTTATCCCTTAAAGAATGTTTCCGATGTGGTTTTGCGATGATCTTCGGGGATAAAAAGTTGTGACAATCAAACCCAAGGACAGCACACTTTCCGGGAGCCGCAACGAACCGACCGCAGGCTCTCTGTCCAACCCTCCGCATTTGGCACTCGAGTATGGTCACAGAAGCTCCCTTCCTGGTTAAATTGATGAAACAATGGTCTACAGGGTATCCTATAACCAAATCCCCTTCGTGGTCACCAATGCGTTTTCTATCCCTTGAAGAATGTTTCTGACGTGGTTTAGGGATGATCTTGATAGATAGTCAGTTGTCGCAATCGACCGCGCGCCGTCGGTCCAACGCTCCGCATTAGTCACTCTAGTACGGCCACAGAAGCTCCCTTGACGCTTGAATGGTGGAACAGACATCTACAGGACGGAGGATACCCAGCAAACCCCCTTTGTGGTCACCCATGCGTTTTTGATCCCTTGAAAAATGTTTATGATGTTGTTTCGAGATCTTCTTGGGGGAAGAGTTGCTACAATCAAACCTGTGCGCAGCAGACACTCCCCATCCTAGTATGGTCATAGAAGCTCCCTTGATGGTTTAACTGGTGGAACACATATACAGTACGGAGCATCCCCGGCAAATCCCCTTTGTGGTCACCAATGCGTTTTTGATCCCTTGAAACATGTTTCTGATGTTGTTTCCAGATCTTCTGGTGGGATAAGTTGGACAATCAAACCCAACGACAAGACACTCCCCCCACTGGTCGCCCTATCATGGTCATAGAGATTCCCTTGATGGTTAAAATGGTTGAACAAAGTCTCTACGGGGTATTCCTACCGAATTCTCTTCGCGGTCACCAATGCGATTTTAATCCCTAGAAAAATGACTCCGGTGTGGTTTTGGGACGATCTTAGTAGATAATAACTTGGCACCATCGACCGCGCGCCGTCAGTCCAACGCTCCGCATTAGTCACCCTAGTATGGTCATAGAAGCGCCCTTGACGGTTGAATTGGTGGAACAGACATCTACAGGACGGAGGATACCCAGCAAAACCCCTTTGTGGTCACCCATGCGTTTGTGATCCCTTGAAAAATGTTTCTAATGTTGTTTCGAGATCTTCTTGGGGGATATGTTGCGCCAATCAAACCCAAAAACAGCACACTCTCCCTAGTGGTCACCCTAGGTTGGTCATATAGGCTCCCTCGATGGTTTAACTGGTTGAACAAATGTCTACGGGGTATTCTTACCAAATCCCCTTCGTGCTCACCAATGCGTTTTTAATCCCCTGAAAAATGTTGTCGATGTGGCTTCGGGATGTTCTTTGGGGATAGGTTGTGACCAAAAAAGGGACAGCAGGCTATCCAGGAGCCACCGCGACCCCGACTGCGTCCCTTCCATCCAGCGCTCCGAATTGGTCACCTTAGTATGGTCATAAAACGTCCCCTGGGCGATTCATAAAGGTCTAGGAGGTATCCCCATGGTATCACAAGTGTGGTGGCGGGATGTTGTTGGGGGGTGGGTTGTGACAGTCAAACCCAAGGAGACCAGACTTTCCAAATGATATCGCGATCTCGACTGGGTGCCCACACCCACAGCCATGGAGTTAGTTGAGCTGGGATCAAAAAATTGGCGTATATCCCATTGCATATCCACTTTTTAGGGAATAGGCGGAATAGGTAATATATATATACATATATATATATGTATGTATGTGTGTGTAATTTCACAGCGTAACCTACAAAGAGAAATATATATATATATAATTATATAATATATATATATAATTATATATATATATGTCATTACTATTAGTATCATTTATTATTACCATTATTATTCTTGTTTTTAATATCATTTTTATTATCATTATCTTTACTATTATCATTAAGTATTGTTAACATAATATATATATATATGTAAATATACATCACCATCATTACCCCATCATTTCCCAACCATTTCCCCAGCAAATCAAACCTGCCATGGCTGGGCTGCACCTCCTCGATGACCTTGACCTTCTTGGGGCTGCTGATGATCGTCGCCACTCCCACATCCCCCACCTCCGGGAGTTCCCTGCGCTTCCTGGAAGCGGCACAACATCGCGCTCACCGGAGCCTGGTACAACCTACGAAAATCATGGGAAAACATCGGAAAACTGTGGGAAAACAGTGGAACATCTGAGAAAAATATGGGAAACATGTGGGAAATGGGTGATACACCATGGGATTTCTGGACTATTTTCTGGATAAACATATGGCCACAGAAACTCCCTTGGTGGTCAAACTTTTGTAAACAAATGTCTACAGGGTATCCTCACCAAAACCCTTCGTGGTCACCAATGCGTTTTTAATCCCTTAAAGAATGTTTCCGATGTGGTTTTGCGATGATCTTCGGGGATACAAAGTTATCAAACCCAAGGCTCGCACACTTTCCGGGAGCCGCAGCGAACCCGACCGAGGGCCCTCTGTCCAACCCTCCGCATTTGGCACTCGAGTATGGTCACAGAAGCTCCCTTCCTGGTTAAATTGATGAAACAATGGTCTACAGGGTATCCTATAACCAAATCCCCTTCGTGGTCACCAATGCGTTTTCTATCCCTTGAATAATGTTTCTGACGTGGTTTAGGGATGATCTTGATAGAGAATAAGTTGTCACAATCGACCGCGCGCCGTCAGTCCAACGCTCTGCATTAGTCACTCTAGTATGGCCATAGAAGCCCCCTTGACGCTTGAATTGGTGGAACAGACATCTACAGGACGGAGGATACCCAGCAAACCCCCTTTGTGGTCACCCATGCGTTTTTGATCCCTTGAAAAATGTTTATGATGTTGTTTCGAGATCTTCTTGGGGGAAGAGTTGCTACAATCAAACCTGTGCGCAGCAGACACACCACCCTCCTAGTATGGTCATAGAAGCTCCCTTGATGGTTTAACTGGTGGAACACATATACAGTACGGAGCAGCCCCGGCAAATCCCCTTTGTGGTCACCAATGCGTTTTTGATCCCTTGAAACATGTTTCTGATGTTGTTTCCAGATCTTCTGGTGGGATAAGTTGGACAATCAAACCCAAATATATATATATATATATGTATGTATGTGTGTGTAATTTCACAGCGTAACCTACAAAGAGAAATATATATATATAATATATATATATAATTATATATATATATGTCATTACTATTAGTATCATTTATTATTACCATTATTATTCTTGTTTTTAATATCATTTTTATTATCATTATCTTTATTATTATCATTAAGTATTGTTAACATAATATATATATATGTAAATATACATCACCATCATTACCCCATCATTTCCCAACCATTTCCCCAGCAAATCAAACCTGCCATGGCTGGGCTGCACCTCCTCGATGACCTTGACCTTCTTGGGGCTGCTGATGATCGTCGCCACTCCCACATCCCCCACCTCCGGGAGTTCCTTGCGCTTCCTGGAAGCGGCACAACATCGCGCTCACCGGAGCCTGGTACAACCTACGAAAATCATGGGAAAACATCGGAAAACTGTGGGAAAACAGTGGAACATCTGAGAAAAATATGGGAAACATGTGGGCAATGGGTGATAAACCATGGGATTTCTGGACTATTTTGTGGAGTATGTTGATGGATAATGGAGAAGTGGGACACCTGTTGGAACATTCCCCATAGCATCCCTGGAGATTTCCCAGTTCATGAAAAACACAAACATATCCCCAATCTATGAAGGATGTGTCAATAAGCCCCCTATAATCATCAACCAAAACCAGGCTGTTTGAAACTGCTCGGATGTATTCGGATGTTTATTTTTGAGGAGGACACCTTGCGGTCAAGTGACTTGCTGACCATTCCCATGCTGGGCGACGCACACAAAAAAGGACAGCTGAGTGAGTGTGGACGGGATATTGAAGCCAAGCTATAATGGATGGTGGGCACTCAAGTTCAACAATTTTAGTATCCCCTAAATGTATCTAAATGGTCCCAAATGTGTGTAATTCACACACTAAACCATGGATTCTTGGGGGTGTCTACTATGACAAGGGGATGGGATCAATTACCGGATCTTAAAATGGAGGGTCATAACCCGGCTTCCAGTTGGGCTCGCACAGAAAGTTGGCCTTGTTGACATAGACATATCTCTGTGTGTTTCCGTGCATGTGCATTACAATTACAGTACACATTATCATATACATTAGCAATGTATTAGTATCATTCATTATTTAATCGAAGGAAGTTGAGAAGTCAAACTTCCGACAATATGGACAGGTGAAGAGCAGGGAAGAGGCAGAGAGAAGAGAAAGATTAGATGCAGATGATGAAAGTCGCGTGAAAGGTAGGAAAGTCGCGAAACACTTTTTTTTTCCAATGATTTGGGGCTCCGGAGGATCGAAAAGTAGGCTCGCTAACCCGGCGGGTGCGGAGCCAGCTGGCCAGATGAGAGATGAAAAATTGCGCACCGTTGTGGCGCGAAGCACATTGACAAGTCAAAATGCACAAAGCACCTGGTGCTCGGACCACTTTTGGAAGTTGAGATGTCGAAAAAGTGCACGCCGTTGTGGCGCGAAGCACATTTCCAAGTCAAAATGTACAAAACACACCAGGTCCGGACTACTTTTGGCAGTTGAGATGTCGAAAAAGTGCACGCCGTTGTGGCGCGAAGCACATTTCCAAGTCAAAATGCACAAAACACCAGGGGTTCGGACCACTTTTGGAAGTTGAGATGTCGAAAAAGTGCACGCCATTCTGGCGCGAAGCACTTTTTGAAGTCAAAATGTACAAAACTCTAGGGGTTCTGACCACTTTGGGAGGTTCAGATGTCGCTTCGCTTCGCTTCGCTTCACTACACTACATGATACTACACTACACTACACTACACTCCACTACACTACACTATATTACACTACACTACACTCCACAACACTACAACTACAACTACACAACTACACTCCACTACACTCCACTACGCTCCACTACGCTCCACTACTATAAATTACATTACACTACACTACACTACACTACATTACACTCCACTGCACTCCACTACACTCCACTGCGCTCCACCCATGCCCTTTTAATTCCGGCAAAAATGTTTCCGATGTGGTTTCGGGATGTTCTTGGGAGATAGGTTGCGGTTATAAAAAGCCAAGGGCAGCAGGCCACCATAGCATCCTGTAGCAAGTTCAGGCTCGCTTCTGGCATTTGTCCTGCAAACATGCAAGTTGGCAGCTTTGAGAAAATGTCTTTGCATGCTGTGCATTTACGGGTTATACCGGCACTGGTCAAGCTTTCTTTCATGTGAAAACCACATGCAAACCTCTATGGCTGCAACAAGCTCCAACAAGCCATGGTAAACGTCCAACACTTCCAAATGCAGCAATCTACTTGAAACGCAAGGTTCCAGGCTCCGTCTCACTGGTCCATCAGGACACGGACTGCTTTTTTTTTGTCTCTGACAAGACGTTGCGCCCAACTGTTCTGTTTCAAAAGATCCTACGGATCCTTTCCGCCACGAGTGCCAGTCACTCAGGCTGAAACCCCGTCGAACTGCGACTCACAATGCTCACTCAATGTCCACGGCTTTGCGCTTCAGACCGCGGCTTGGGGCATCGGTGCAAACAATGGCTGACTCAGGCTTGCAATCTTCCAGCTTGCGAAGGGTGGCGGCGTCTTTCTCAGTGACCGTTGTTCGCTTGGCGTGTGATGCCAGCAAGTAGCATTTCACCATGAACTGAACTCCTTTGGCCTGCCAAAAAAGCAGACGCCGTTGAGCTATGCCAAATTATGCAAAAGAAACAACCACAAGGATCAGAAAACATTTTTTCCTACCTGCCAGGTGAGGGTTGCTAGATTTCAACATAGCTCTTCTCCTCAACCGGGAGCTTTAGATTGCAGTGGGCACTGCCGGACCTCAACCGGGAGCTCCAGAGCGCACTGGGCACTGCCGGACCCCAACGGGGTGAATGTCAGCTAGAATGCCAGAAAGAATGTCAGAAGATATGCCAGATAGAATGTCAGAAGATATGCCAGATAGAGTGCCAGAAAGAGTGTCAGAAAGAATATCAGAAGATATGCCAGATAGAATGTCAGAAGATATGCCAGATAGAATGCCAGAAAGAATGTCAGAAGATATGCCAGAAAGGATGTCAGAAGATATGCCAGATAGAATGTCAGATAGAATGTCAGAAGATATGCCAGATAGAATGCCAGAAAGAATGTCAGAAGATATGCCAGAAAGGATGTCAGAAGATATGCCAGATAGAATGTCAGATAGAATGTCAGAAGATATGCCAGATAGAATGCCAGAAAGAATGTCAGAAGATATGCCAGAAAGGATGTCAGAAGATATGCCAGATAGAATGTCAGATAGAATGTCAGAAGATATGCCAGATAGAGTGCCAGAAAGAATGTCAGAAGATATGCCAGATAGAATGCCAGAAGATATGCCAGAAAGAATGTCAGAAGATATGCCAGAAAGGATGCCAGAAGATATGCCAGATAGAGTGTCAGAAGATATGCTAGATAGAATGTCAGAAGATATGACATAGAATGCCAGAAAGCATGTCAGAAGATATGCCAGATAGAATGCCTGAAAGAATGTCAGAAGATATGTCAGATAGAATGTCAGAAGATATGCCAGATAGAATGCCAGAAGATATGCCAGAAAGAATGTCAGAAGATATGTCAGAAAGAATGTCAGAAGATATGCCAGGTAGAGTGCCAGAAAGAATGCCAGAAGATATGCCAGATAGAGTGCTAGAAAGAATGTCAGAAGATATGTCAGAAAGAATGCCAGAAGATATGCCAGATAGAATGCCAGAAAGAATGTCAGAAGATATGCCAGAAAGAATGTCAGAAGATATGCCTGATAGAATGTCAGAAGATATGTCAGATAGAATGTCAGAAGATATGCCAGATAGAATGCCAGAAAGAATGTCAGAAGATATGCCAGAAAGGATGTCAGAAGATATGCCAGATAGAATGTCAGATAGAATGTCAGAAGATATGCCAGAAAGAATGTCAGAAGATATGCCAGAAAGGATGCCAGAAGATATGCCAGATAGAGTGTCAGAAGATATGCTAGATAGAATGTCAGAAGATATGCCAGATAGAGTGCCAGAAAGAGTGTCAGAAAGAATATCAGAAGATATGCCAGATAGAATGTCAGAAGATATGCCAGCTAGAAAGGGTCACGGTGGGGATCACTCGAAGCAAAGTACTTTCCACAGTCTGGAAACAGCATGTATTGACTTGGAAGGACAGAACCATTGAACACACATGAAACAACTTCAAACGTGACTTCGCCTCCACAGCAGACTGCAAGACTTTCAAAGCACCAGGAGAAATCCGGAACTCCAACTTCCCGCCCTTGTCATCAGTCGGCGGAGAGAGCTGCTCCAAGGTCTCCTTCACCATGGACACGAAATGTGCCCTTGGTAGGCAAGGTGTCGAGAAATCCGTTTGAAGTAGACGTATTTGTTCCTCGGCTCGCCTGCCATCCTGCCCACCGAAGCGTCCGGCCATGTTGTAGGCCCTGCGCTCTTGTCCCAGGCGAGGCCGGCCTGGAGGACGCGCTGGCGGCGCCTCACCCGCCTCAAACGGATCCTTAGCCTGCTCCGGCAGAGGCTTCAAGAACTGGCCAATGCCGATGGCCACTCGTGGCAAGCCGGCCAAATTGCTAGGGAGAAGATGGGGTGGAAAAAGAAGACTATTGAGGCCTTGTGCCATGTCCTACAACCTTTACCACACCTGAGCCACAAAACGAAACTACCGGAAGACAGATTCAATGCATTCGATACCGCGAGGTTCTGGGCAGTGAGAGAGCAGGCTCCGCAACTGTTCCCGCCCGTCAGTCCTGGAGTCAAGAATGAATTTTGGCCATGTCCTGGTTGGTGAGCTGCGCACGATGCGAGACGTTCTCCCGAGATGGAAATTCAAGGCTTGTGAAGCATTACCAACAAATACTTTTCATGGTCACCTTTCAATATCTACCTTGCAAGATATTTTTCTATCAATATCTATCCCTACTTATATTATCTATTCATCTATCTATGTGCGGAGACAAGACAGGGAAGAGCAAGAGGGCCCCCACAGCCTCCACGGAGGCTGCAGGGGAGTGGACGGGGCCCCCATGACCCCCACCTGAGGGAGCCACAGGGGAAAGCGACGGGCCCCCACAAGGTTCCTGATGAGGAACCTGCAGGGGAAGAGGTGGGCGCTGGGGTGGGATCTATCTAGCTATCTAGCTATCTAGCTATCTAGCTATCTAGCTATCTAGCTATCTAGCTATCTATCTATCTATCTATCAATCTATCTATCTAGCTAGCTATTTATCTATCTAGCTATCTATCTATCTATCTATCTAGCTAGCTATTTGAAAAAATCATATTCATATGGTTGTCTATCCTTCTGGAATAGTAAAAGCAATAGAAAAAATAAATTGAGCCCGAAATGCCAAGAAATCATTTGTTTTTTTTAACATCTAGCAACAGTAACATATGACCAAGCTCTTGAAACCAAACCCAAACGCATTGTACTTTGGTAATTTTCTTTTTGATGGGCCTGGAGGAAACTGGACTTGAAATCAAAATGTAATAAATTTTAGATTGCTGCGATTAAAAAGAATGAATGGCTTCAGCTTGAAAGAAAAAACAGTACAACATTGGTGAGCCATTTCAGGCGATGTGTCAACTTCAGTATATGAATCTGTGAGAGCGGCATTCACAACTAGCGAGAGCGAGGAGGCAAACTTGCTTGTTTTCATCAGATCTTTCCCGGCCTATGTCTTCGGGAGGGGAACAACCAACTCCCTTATATAATTTCGGCCGAGATCCCAGCTGACAAGCTGGTTGAACGTGGCTTCAATGAAAACCGGCTCATTGCACACAATCTGTTTCTTTCTCGAAGACACAACTGCACGACGTGCCAACGCGGTGTCTGCAAATCAAAAGGGCCAACAGCGCTGCCTGGACGTAGCCTCTTGCAACTGGATTTCACCAGTGCTTTTTTGCGCCAGACCATCAGCGAGCACCTGCCCCAAAGTGCAAGGCTGATCAGGCCTCAGTAGTTCTTCTGCCCCATGCAAATGAGATCTTTGTGATCAAACACTTCGGCAACAACGGAGGGATGTACTCCATCAAACGCCGAAAAGACTTGATCCCAACCTCTTTGATATGCCTTCTCATCATTGTCAGATGACTCCTCATCATTGTCAGCTAACTCCTCATCTAACTGCTCTCTTAAAGCCATGCGGGGGCCCTTCTTCGCGGATGTACTCCATCAGTCACCAAGAGCAAAATCAAATGAAGTGAATCAAGTCATTTTAATCCCGGTCCAAATTGTTTCTAAACTACCGCGCCAACCCCGCGGACCCCGCGACCCCGCGGACCCCGCAGACCGCGCCAACCCCGCCAACCCGAGAACTCAGCAAACTCCGCGCCAACCCCGCGCCAACCCCGCGAACCGCAAACCCCGCCAGCCCCGCCCATCCCGCCAAACCCGCCAACCCCGCGAACCCCGCGGACACCGCCAACCCTGCCAAACCCCGCGAATCCCGCGGGCCCCGCGAACCCCGCGGGCCCCGCGGACCCCACCAACCCCGCCTACCTACCTACCTACCTATCTATCTATCTATCTATCTAGCTATTTGAAAAAATCATATTCATATGGTTGTCTATCCTTCTGGAATAGTAAAAGCAATAGAAAAAATAAATTGAGCCCGAAATGCCAAGAAATCATTTGTTTTTTTTAACATCTAGCAACAGTAACATATGACCAAGCTCTTGAAACCAAACCCAAACGCATTGTACTTTGGTAATTTTCTTTTTGCTGGGCCTGGAGGAAACTGGACTTGAAATCAAAATGTAATAAATTTTAGATTGCTGCGATTAAAAAGAATGAATGGCTTCAGCTTGAAAGAAAAAACAGTACAACATTGGTGAGCCATTTCAGGCGATGTGTCAACTTCAGTATATGAATCTGTGAGAGCGGCATTCACAACTAGCGAGAGCGAGGAGGCAAACTTGCTTGTTTTCATCAGATCTTTCCCGGCCTATGTCTTCGGGAGGGGAACAACCAACTCCCTTATATAATTTCGGCCGAGATCCCAGCTGACAAGCTGGTTGAACGTGGCTTCAATGAAAACCGGCTCATTGCACACAATCTGTTTCTTTCTCGAAGACACAACTGCACGACGTGCCAACGCGGTGTCTGCAAATCAAAAGGGCCAACAGCGCTGCCTGGACGTAGCCTCTTGCAACTGGATTTCACCAGTGCTTTTTTGCGCCAGACCATCAGCGAGCACCTGCCCCAAAGTGCAAGGCTGATCAGGCCTCAGTAGTTCTTCTGCCCCATGCAAATGAGATCTTTGTGATCAAACACTTCGGCAACAACGGAGGGATGTACTCCATCAAACGCCGAAAAGACTTGATCCCAACCTCTTTGATATGCCTTCTCATCATTGTCAGATGACTCCTCATCATTGTCAGCTAACTCCTCATCTAACTGCTCTCTTAAAGCCATGCGGAGGCCCTTCTTCGCGGATGTACTCCATCAGTCACCAAGAGCAAAATCAAATGAAGTGAATCAAGTCATTTTAATCCCGGTCCAAATTGTTTCTAAACTACCGCGCCAACCCCGCGGACCCCGCGACCCCGCGGACCCCGCAGACCGCGCCAACCCCGCCAACCCGAGAACTCAGCAAACTCCGCGCCAACCCCGCGCCAACCCCGCGAACCGCAAACCCCGCCAGCCCCGCCCATCCCGCCAAACCCGCCAACCCCGCGAACCCCGCGGACACCGCCAACCCTGCCAAACCCCGCGAATCCCGCGGGCCCCGCGAACCCCGCGGGCCCCGCGGACCCCACCAACCCCGCCTACCACACCAACTCCGCGGACCCCGCCAACCCGGCCAACCCGGCGAACTCCACAAACTCGGCGAGCTTTGCTTGGATGACAAACCTGCATGTCTATTACGCGCTGCATTTCGATCTTATAACTATATACTTTTCCTTCCAATGTGCCACGCATGTATCCGCATTAGTATACATATTATTTATTGTTTTATTTATTCTTTTTTTGTATTTATTTATGCATTTATTTATTTATTTACTTATTTATTTTATTTATATATATATGTTGATGCATACACACATTTACATATGTTGCATTATGTTTCAAGCATTTCAGTATGTACTTCTTCCACAATTTGATTCAGAAACGTAGCCGTCACGTAGAACGGAACAGTCCAAGCCACCGCCCCCCCTCCCCCCAAGTAAGATCTGAACGAAAAAAAATATTACTCGTCATCAAAAAAAGGCATATATATATATGTGTGTGTATGATCATATGTCTCATATCAAACTATCTATCTACATGTCTATCTATCTATCTATCTACCTATCTATCTATCTATCTACCTATCTGATCCAAACCCACGTGTTCTTTGTTCCCCAAATGACTGCTAAAGTCTTCGGAGAAATGTGGCGTCAACAAAATGTCTAAATGTTTGCTGAAAACCCTTGTTGAGTGAACAAAATCCTTTTCTTGTAGCAAGATCCATTTTTTCGTAACATTGCCTATGTCTTTGATAAGTTTTCTCCTCGTGGGTCTGAAATGGTCAAGGGGGTGGCAGGCTCGGGCATCTGCACGTACAAGACAAAGCCTTACAAAACGACAAGACAACCGGTATTGTCACCAACCAACTTACGGGGATTCGGGGATATCATTGGTCATAGGATATGTGTATATATATATATACATACCATATCATACTATATCTAAATGGAATCCCCAATATGTTGTTTTCGGTCGTAAAAGGAGCATCTAACTCTGAGGCACAATGATCGAAACGACAATCGTCAGCAACCCTCCGCAATCAAAACACCCAAATGGTCAAGAGTTGACAGGGCAAGCGAGAGTTATAATATCCTCTGGTAATTTAATTATGTAGCGAAGTGGAAAATCAGCATGTTCAAGAGGTAAATCATCAGAAATCATCTAGAAACGATCCATGTTCATGCATGTTCCATCTAGAAACTGTGAAATCAAATGGTAATTCACCTGCGGATGTGGTTTAAAGCCCAACATTTTCTTCCCATTCTTTGGACTCTCCTGATGACCAGCATGTAGATAGTTTATAGGTAGTATACAGGCATAAGATATAGCAAGGTGGCTTATCAGGGATTTATAAGGGATTATGTATATATCTATATGTATGTATGTATGTATGTATGTATGTATGTATGTATGATTGTATTGTATTGTATTGTATTGTATTGAATATTGAATATTGAATATTGTATTGTATTGTATTGTATTGTGTTGTAATGTATATTGTATGTATGTATGTATTGTATTGTACTGTATTGTATTGTATTGTCTTGTATTGTATTGTATTGTATGTATGTATGTATTTATGTATGTATGTATGTATGTATTGATGCATGTATGTATGTATGTATGAGCATATGTATGTATGTATGTATGTATGTATGTATGTATGTAGGAATAGGTTGTCGGTAGGGAGTTTGACTTTAGTATGTGCATTGCATAGGTAGATATGCCAAGAGCTACAGAATACCTGGGGGACCCAACCAATTCGAGGGGTGGGTCTCGTGGGCGGAAGACGGGATCATACATATATTCATGTATATATGCATTATACACATATATCCCACTATGTTCCATTATATTTCATTATATTTCATGATATCCCCATTTGATGGTTGGTGAACCCTCCATGTTCCATATGTTTCT